AAACAATGCTTTATTTTACAACCGACAACCCCGAACTGTTTGCGCTACCGCTACCAAATGTTTGTAAAACCGATTAGTTCAATACCATCTCCAACTCTCTCACACTCATATGACAAACTGGCCCCTCTCACTTTTACACACACACTCTTATGAAAACCCATCCTCCCGCTCTTACACACACTCTCTTATGAATAAACAAATTAGAGGTTATGTGTATACACTGTGTGTGCTCTGGTTTGTATTTACTACTCTCTTCTTCTGTTTCTTGTATAGTTCCCATTATGTGTTATATTATTAATCGAGAACTGTGATACCTGTTAGATTCTTTGTATTAATCGTACAAGTCTGGATTAAAATAAACTACTTTAATATAATAAAATAAGATACATAATCTCGACGCCACATACATTACTCGACCCCGTTAACCTCGGTCTGTCCGTTGTTCGTCAACCTAGGTATGTTCGTTGACATAGTTCTCATAACAATACCTTCGAGAGTCTCTTATGAATTTAGGTTCTTCTACAGATTCCCTTAACGAAACTGAAGGACCATATTCTCTTGGTGGATAAAATGATATACATTTTGTTTTACAGGGTGCCCCTGGACTTCCTATTTTCCTCTCGGGAATGTATAGATGGGTTCAAAATATCACCATTACTTCATATAACTTTTGTTCCTAAAATCCTTCGTTACCAAGGGCCCTGAAAGTTACAAAATGAAAAATATTATTCTTTGATAACTTTTCAAGTGAATATTCAAAATCAACCAAATTTTGATGGTTGACTAAACAAATGAATTGCTTTGATGGTCGGTCGGTAGCCGAGCGGTTCGACGTGGGTGCTTTGTTCACTCAGTCAGTCGGCCGATGTGTGAGTCGATGGTTCAAGCCTCAGGCTGAACTCTCGATTTCACTTGCTATCGTCCAACGCGTGTTAGGAATCACACGTTAAAAGGTAAGACCTCGTTAGTCCTTAGCTCGCACAAGTTTCGACTTCTGAGGGTTATCGTTCGTAGAGATGCGATAGCTGGTTAACGAAAAAAAAACATATTTTAAACATATAAGCTTTCATGCAGGAGTCAGTTGTGCTACAAAGTCAGGAACGGACTACCCCTGATGGTCCATACCCCAAAACTTTAAAATGACAGATATTTTTCAACAAAATCAGTTTACTTAGACAATTTTCTGAATAAAAGTACTCGTATAAAATATCGATCGGAACAACGATTTTGTATAAAAATGCACTGTTGTTCAACGCATCCAACCTGGGATGTCTACCATTATTCGAAAAGATTAATTCTGAATGAAATGATAGGTAAATGTTCATAACGAATTTTGATAATGCAAACGTTAACTTAACAAAATTCATGGTCTAAACCTCAATCGCAAGCCTCAAGATCAAACAGAAATGAAAAATCCGCTACAAAAAATTGCTCGATATGACCCCATTCTCTCTCAATACATTTTCGTAGTCTGCGAAGAGACCCTCTCTCTACTTAAAATAGCAGTTCAGGTTCGTTTCATATGGTTTCACTATGTAATGTTATTCTATTCAACAAGGCATCTCTTGTGTAGCGTAAATAAGGCTTTTTAGATGCCCACCACAGAAAGAAATCCAATGGATTTAAATCCGGGCACCACGGTGGGCATGCATATAACCCACCTCTACCAATCCATCTATTATGGAAAGTATGGTTCAGATGGTCCCGCCATCATGTATGAACCACATATCTCTTCGGGTTTGCAATGAAACATGTTCCAAAAGTTCATTCAAAATGTTCTGAAGGGACTTCCAATAACGTTCGCCATTCAATCAATCGTGTAGAATGAATGGTCCTATAAGATAGTTTCCTATAATATCAGCCCAAACATCAACGATGAATTTTCCTTTGTGTTTGTTTTGCAATATCCCATAGGGTTTTTCTTCGGTCCATATGTGGAGATTATGATAGTTGATAACTCCATCTCTACTGAAACCTGTTTCATCAGTGAATAAAACTAATAATCACCCGTCAACTTTTTTCCCTAAAGCGATCTAAAAAAAATTATTGCCATTTTTAAAAATATCCCTAGACTTTTCCGATGTGTGTATTTTACTATTCGTAAATCGTGAACTTGTATATTCGAAAAAGCTCTCACTGACATTACTGACATTTTTATGTATGAAACAACGTAGTAGAGAAGTAAAATGTCTTCTCCATAATATTGATACATTCAGTATAACTCAACATGCAGCAAACATCATCACTCAAGAAATGTTCACTCTCCATTTGAGGAACATGTAATAAAAAAAATAAATATATTTCAAAAAACTAAAAAGCACGCTTTTTAAAACATCGAACTGAAAAGTTAAAATTATTTTTTAAATAAGCTTAAAACAATAACGAACAAAAAATACTAGTATTATTGTGAAAAAATCGTGGGCGCTTTGTGCCATATTTTTTGTATATCAAGCGCCCGTCCAGGGCCTCGCCGCCCCTGTGTGCGAAGTGTGCGGCGCACACAGCCGTTATGACAATAGAGGCGCCGCCATCGAAATTATTTTTGTTACACTTACACAACAACATATTTTTTATAGCGGAGTATCGATAAGTAGATATATTAAGATGATGCCGCCGAAGTTACGTCCTTGCCTCTGCCTGATACACCATTGTCACCGCCAAGATTATTACCGTCACCAATACCAAGTTTTTCCAAAGATGACCCTGGACTCTGGCCAGAAGTTTTCAATGCTACTTTGATCCAGTATTTAATAGAAAATCCGATTACACAAATCAAATTGTATAATTTTCTGCGTGACTTTTCGGGCCGAACATTTTCCTAGTACCTAGGTATTATTATGAAGGGCATTTAGGAAATGATGAAAAGTATCACATAGAGCGGCTGCTGTATTCATTGTCCAAAAATGCCGTTTATTGCTGCTGTTGCAAGCTATTTGAATCAAAACATAAAAATAAATTCTGCGAGGGAATTAGTGATTGGCAACATCTAGCTTTGTATTGCAGCAAATACGAGAAAAGTTCTGCTTATTTCAAAAATTATAAAAAATGGACAGATTTATGTCACGCTTTAAAAAAAACACTAATGATATTTTCCATCAAAAAGTTTCAGAGGTTGAAAAAGCAGCGCTGGTACAATGTAATCAAAAGAATAATATATGTGGTCCCATTTCTAAGTACACAAAATATGGCTTTTTGTGGCCAAAGCCAAAAATTGTACGATCGTAACAATGGTAATTTTTCAAAATGTATTGTACTGTTAGGAAAATTCGATCTTTCAATGATTGAATATTTATGACGCGTAACGAATGATTCGTATTTCAAAACTATGCTGACTTGGAGATGAGATCCAAAATGAAATAATTTACTAGTCGGGAACCAAATTCAACATTTTTTTTTAGATTTATGTCAAATTAATAAATATTTTTCAATTATACTGGATTGTACACCTGACGTTTCACACGTAGAGCAAATTAGTATTATAATGAGATTTGTCTATTTCAACACAGAAAATAGAAAGTTGGAAATAAGGAAGAATTTCCTAGTTTTGTGTCCAATTATCGAGACAACTGGCTCTGGATTAATGTCATTTATAGTAGAAAAACTAACCGAAATTAATTTGGACATAGAAATAAACAGGGCTGAATCAAATATACGCGGTAATAATATTGGTCTTCAAAAAAGATTGCTGGGTCTAAATCCCCGTGCTTTCTATGTACTGTGCGCTAGCCATACAATACGTAATAGTTAAATCAGTATCATTAGAAAAGTCAGCTATTTCATTATTGATATCTAAGTATACAATTAGATATAACATAAATAAAGTATGTAAAAATTTAATAAGCGTTTTATTTTTCGCAGTAATCGGCAAGCGGAAGCTAACTGGTTTTACCTATTTAGGAAAACATAATCTAAGTATATAAAACTGGAGAACATTTATTCGGTCAAAATTAACAAATAATAAGTTGAAACATAAAGATTCGTGAAAAAAAAGAGACGCTTCATAGGTTTCACGCACAGGCGCTGTGGGGGGTCGGCGCGGCCCTGCGCCCGTCGCTATATTTATTATCACAACTATTTCATTTCTTTCTAAAAGGTTTTTTGTCAACACCGGATGATTATTATAGTTTATTCGTTTTTATAAATTAGTATAGGTCAATGTGCTTTTTTTTTTTAATTTAAAACATTCAAATGTTGAGTTTCATGAGATTCAGATGACACAACACGAAACGTGATTGTTCTACATATACATACAAAATATGGATTGAATTCGATATTCGCGTAGCTTGTTATTTCAAAAACACCACGAATCTACAGAACTTGATATTTCATTTGTATTAAGCCTGTTATGTTGTTGCATAAACGTTATCATACTTGTTTCTGTTGTGAAAATTTTTCATTTCAAATAATGGTAGACACCTCAGGTTGGATGTCGTCGAACAAAAGTGCATTTTTATCAAAAATCGTTGCTCCGATCGATTTTTCATACGAGTACTTTTATTCAGAAAATTGTCTAAGTAACTTGATTGTGACTTTGTAGCAAAACAACTGACTCCTGCATGAAAGCTCATCAAAAAAATTCATTTGTTCAGTCGAATCTCCAAAATTTGGTTGATTTTGAATATTCACTTGAAAAGTTATCAAAGAATAACATTTTTCATTTTCTAACTTTGAGGGTCCGTAACTTGGTAACGAAAGATTTTAGGAACAGAAGTTATATGAAGTACTGGTGATATTTTGACCCCATCTATACATTCTCGAAAGAAAAAGAGGAATTCCAGGGACGCTCTGTATATTAGATCCATGAAATACATTATTCATAAAATTAAACTCATTTTCAAATCAAGTGATCCTAAAACTCTGAGAAAAATCTTTTAGATATTTTTCAAACAGATGTTCTCGTTAGATAATATTAAAAATTCTCACATCAGAAATCTTTTTTTATAATTATTTTTATGCAAACTCTCAACTTGTATATCTATTTCAATGTTATTCAATTCCAGGAAGCTTGATGTTACAACGTATTCCCAATGCTGAGCGAGATATTAACTATTTGACCCGTGTGATGGTAATTACTCTGCATTTGGCATGTCTATTGACCCGTCTCCTAGACCATCATACTAGTACCGAACAAGTCACTAGAGAGATACATAAAGCTATATTCGACTTGGTTAAACTCAATATTAAAGCTAGATCTGGCAGAATGATGCTTCATCTAGCTTGTTGCAGAGATGCTGCCATATTGGGAAGGTATCCAGCATGTCAGTTTCCTTCTCCACATTTAGCAGAGGTAAGTATTGGAACTACTAAAAATAAATCTGAAAGTTATATTCACTTCATAACCAATCATTAGGTAACGAAGGAAATCATGTTAGTTTCACTCGTGCATGTAACCTACAACTTTCAATCCATTCATATTACATAACATTTTATTACAATATAAAATATGTTAGGTTGTTGACATAGGTTGAATTAGGCACTGTTCAAATTATCAAAATGAGATTAGAAACAGAAGTCAACCCTCAATTTACTTGTCAAATTTTCAACAGTTATTGTTGCAATAATGTTGTCTCTTCAGGAAAGAATAGAAATAGTTTTAATATGTGGTGAGAATACACCATACCGGCAAGTAGCTAACATTTTTAATGAACGGCATCCAGGAAAAAATTTTCAACATACTACTGTGTCAAGGATAATGTCGAAATTCAGAGAAACAGGATCCGTAGCAAATCAATTTAAGAAAAAGCACACTCCTAGTAAATATGATGAGTAGGCCCAACTTAACATTTGTTTAAAAGTTATTGAACACGGGCAAACGAGCATAACCGATATTATGAAAAATACCGATTACAAGAGAGAAAGTGTTAGAAAAATTTTATTAAAGAATAAATTTTGGCCTTACAAGCCAAAATTTATTAACACATCAGAAGAACGAGATTTTGATGTCCGTTTGGGGTTTTCATTCTGGTTTCAAGGAGAGAGAGAAGAAAATGTAAAGTTTCCGTATAAAATTTTATGGACAGATGAGGTACCGTTCTCTTCAAATGGAATGGTAAGTTCTCCCAATTGCCCAGTTGAATGTGGTGATCAGTATTCCTTCAAAACTAATGTATGGTGTGGGATACTTAACGACCAAATAATTGGGCCATTTTCCTTTCGGGAAAATTTATCATCCGTTGGTTATCTCAACCTTTTAAATAATGAGGTTAGTGAAGTTTTAGATAATATGTCTTTAAATATTAAATACGACCTATGGTATCAGCTTGATGGCGCACCAATACATCACACGGTTGCTGTAAAACAGTCCCTCCAACAAATGTTCAGAGGCAAAGTTATTGGACGTAACTGGGAACATTATTGGTCACCTAGATCACCCGACTTGACGCCTTTAGGCTTTTTCTTGTGGGGTTACCTGAAACAAAAAGTGTACCGAAATAGACCATTTACTGACATACAACATCTGGAAAATACCAAAAAACTACCTACCTACTTACAAACCTCTCCAACATCAATATCCCCAAAGACATAGAAAATATACTCGCTCTAGGAGAAAAATATTCCACTGCAATAATTTCAGAAAGCCAAATTCCTTTCACTGAATATATAGCCAGTATAGAGACAATAATAATTAATAATAAACAAGACACCAATAACGAAATAAGATTACAAATTGTCAATGCCATTAACAAACAAAAATAAAATGAAGAACAATAAGAATAATCAAAAACTCAACTCAAAACAAATAATAATTTAATCAAAACAAAAAGATTCATCAAAAACAACCCTCAAGTTATAATTACTAAATCTAACAAAAGTAATAAAACGGTTACCATGGACACCACAGAATATGAAAATAAAATGAAACTATTACTTAATGAAAAAAAAAACATCAAAAAAATAAAAAATGATCCCACCAATAAATACCAACTCACAAACAATAAACTCATTAAAAAATGGAAATCAAAACAATACATTTCAAATCAACAAGAAAAAAACTTAATAATCCAAAATGCTATCGCACCCAAAATATATGGCCTACCCAAGTCACACAAAACCAATATACCCTTAAGACCCATTGTATCCAGCATTCAATCCCCATTTTATAATCTTTCAAAATTTTTAGGGAACAGCATATCCAATATTATCAACAAAAATAGCTACTATGTTAAAGATTTATTTTCTTTCAAAAACTTCATAGACACCATTAGAATTCCGGACGACCACATACTAATTTCACTAGACATCACATCCCTATACACGAACATTCCCAACCAACTGGTAAAAAACATTATCACAAAAAAATGGAACCTCATACAAAACCATATCCCCATTACCAATGAAAGAATTCATCAAGGCCATTGAAACAACCTCATCAACCAACTATTTCCAATATAAAGACTATTTTTTTCAACAACTAGACGGTTGTGCAATGGGATCCCCAATATCAAGTATCTACCATAGCTCAACTTGTAATGGAAGAACTAGAAGAAACTGTCATATCAAAATTGAATTTCGAACTCCCGTTCTATAAAAGATATGTTGACGACTAAGCTTCGTAACATTTTCACTTGTAGAAAAATGCTTGATCTGAACTCATACTTTCCCACATTCGACTACTTACCCGAAATCAGCTTTTTCGGATAACGGTGTAAGTACGGAAATGTACTGTTTCCGATCTAGTTAGGATAATAAAAATATAATAACTAACAGTGCGTTATTCCATTCAGCTTGCCGAAGCAATTTTAACTTCTGCGCTATCTTAGATACAAAAGAGTTTGAAATTGCAGATTTGAAAACCTGACGGTACAAGAATAATCGAAGTGTGACTGAGTAGAAATGGGTAAATGAGAAATAACATTTTTTTCACAAATGAAAAATCTGAAATGTGATGAATGATCTGGTAATGAATTTATTGAAAAAATGAATAGTGACTCCAGAATGTCTACCTCTTTCAATAAATTCTATACAAAAATCCGCAGCAGCACTATGGGTTTTCGCTATATAACTTAGTTCAAATTTAGGAAACACTTGCTACATGAATAGCATTTCACAAGTGTTGTTCATGACAAAGAATTTGGAGAACGAGGTTTTAATGACGAACGAGAACGGGAATGTTTCCTACTTATTGGAATTGGCCGCGGTGGTAGTGCGCCCGACTCACGATCGGAAGACCATGGGTTCGATTCCTGCCTCAATCAGATATTTTTCTCGAGATAATTCATCTGGTTGAAGCTGGGATGATTCTGCAACCGTGTTAGGAATCACACGTTGAAAGGTAAGACCTCGTTAGTCCTTAACTCGCACAAGTTTCTCTACTTCTGAGAGTTGTCGTTCGTATGGGGGCGACAACTGATTAACGGAAAAACAGATTTTAAACAGATTAATGGATATGGTAATGCTTGAAGAAACACATGCATTATGAATATTTAATACAACAGTCCTGAACAAACTGTAACGTCTATTTGAATAAAAAAATTTTGATGAGCTTCCGTGAAGTATCATATTTATTCTAATACTCACTACTTTCTACACACATTCACATCATCAAATCGATATACCAAATTTGAAACATCCATTCGAAATAAAAATGAAAACACAGGAAAATAAGATTTCATTTGNCATTCCCATTATTATTTTTATAATTACCAAAATGTATTTTTGTTTGTGCATACCCTAACGGGTATGCGGTTATAGTAGTAACTAATCCCTCGGCTTTCATTTTTTCGAAAGTTGGTAAATTTTGCTGGTGGAGTTGGGAAAATTGGATTCCTTCCCCCCCTGGTTTTTCTTTTCGCTACGGCCCTGCCTGCACAGAATTTTTTGAAGAATCATCCAGAATTGATACAAGATCTGATAAAGGCAACGTGACAGTGATTATGAAAAAATCTGATTATATCGAGAAATCTCTTGAGATTAATAATGATAGTGATTCTTATGTTAAACTCAATGGAGATCCTGTTTCAACAATACAACAAAAGGCAAATAAAATCATCACAGATTTGAAAAAATCAAAAATGATATCAGAAGATGAAGCAAAAATGTATATGATTAATAATTCCATATCACCTAAGTATTATGGACTGCGTAAAATAAATAAAGCTGATATGAAATTGAGACCCATTATTTCTTCCATTGACGCTCCAAATAGCAAAATTGCCCAAATGGTCACTGAAATTCTCACTGATGCATATAATTATGAAAATGAATTCTATATTAAGGATTCTTTCGATTTTCCCAATTTTATAAATGAAAAATCATATCCTCCAGATTATATTCTGATCAGCCTAGATGTGTTTTTCACTTTTCGGCAATATATCCATGAATCTAGTGTAGAAAAGTATTATCAAAAGATGGAGTGATATAAATAAAAAATGTTCAATAACCCAAAAAAATTATTGAAATAATTGATTTCATCTTCAACTCAAGTTATTTCTCTTTCGAAGGTAAATACTATAAATAAATTCTTGGTACTCCAATGGTAGCTACTGTTTCTCCTATTATAGCTCAATACGTAATGGACGATCTTTTTGAAAACATACTTCCTAAACTAAGTTTTGAAATTCCTTTTTTAAAGAAATACGTTAACGATGTCATTTGTGCAATACCTCATGACAAATCTCATAAAATTCTTGATGTCAATAGATATTGTAACGAATTAAAGAATTAACTGTCTTAGACAAATTTATTTTTAACAATATTTCACTATCACAACTAATTTATATATAAAAATTAGCAACTAACGCTTAATTCAGCTTCGCAGTGTACGAATTCTTTCTTTAAACGCACGATTCACTTTCTAGGTACAGGCTGCCATCTCGGGACGAGAGGCCGATTTATATATTGGCAATGACCGTTCTAGATTTCTCTAGTTGTTTCGGTAGTGGCCGAGAATGTTCGCAGCGACTTGTCGAGATCATTCCTTTCGCGAAGAGTCATGTGTTTACTGACTGAGATATCGGTCAGGGCCGGCTTCAGATTCATTACATTGCCCCCTTCTTAAAGACGTTTCGCCCCGAAATGTCATCCTTGGCGTATGTCGATACCTGCAGAACTCCCCATATCTGCACTGTGAAGTTCGATGGAAGTAACACTCCACAGTCTTTATGCTCGGTCGTAGAAGATGGTTACCACACACCAAAATCTTGATGCCGCTGGATCTGAAGATCGTTTCCAACATGCTCCTCACAATTCTTCAGTCCAGCCTGTCGAGTCCAGAGGCTAATTTTGGGATTGCCAAGCCCACGAGATTCTGGTCGAGCATCGTGTCCTTAAATAATCCTCCAGACATCTTCATAGGACGGTTTGTCTCGAGAATGCTTTTTGGTCACCAAGTAGAAAATGTTTCTCTGACCCTTCTTCAACTGTAGC